TTTCCTTATATCTAACCTCTAGTTGGGGCTGGTCCTGCTTGGAGCAGGGGGTTGGACTAAATGTGACCTCCTGGAGTCCCTTCCCACCCTCATGTTCCCTGATTTGGTGATTCTGTGAATGCATCGACCCAATCTCCTATGACATCCATTAGGTCAGGGTGGCCAACCTGTGGTACAGATGCTATAGCGCTGTGGACAGCCTGTGTGTGTGCAGCAGGTTGGAGAGGAGATAGGCAGTGCCATGGCAGATAGGTCAGGGAGCAGAAAGCAGAACAGCAGCTTGGGCAGGGGGCACAGGGCAGGGAGAAGAAAACAGAGCAGCAGATCAGGCAGGGGAAGGGTATAGGAATGGCACTTGGGGTGGGTGCTGGGCTAATGTGTGGCACGCCGGCCAAAAAAGGCAGCCTCCCCCTGCATTAGATGACATTTCCTCATGCATCTGTCACTCAGGCCGGCATTTTCCAAGCCACTGAAGGGATCTGAATATTATATTTCCTGAAACTTGGGCCCGAACCTCTTTAGATTGGGCAATAGGTTGAGACTTGGGAAGCTTCATCTTATTCATAGGCTGACCACAGAGAAAGGGGATTCCTGCTCCGGGCCTCATTTTCTGCATTGGCAAAACTGAGGGCCCTGATATCGGTCTCCTTTTGCAAGTACTTTGAGCTCTACAGATAAAAAACTATACAAAAGATAGACATTATTGTTATTATTATCATTATTGTTTCATTAGTGGGTTCGGGGAAAAATTTTTGTCCTGCTGCTGTATTTTTTTGTGGACTGCCGTTGCATTTCCCATCTCACACTGTTGATCCTTCAGCCAAGAGAATCACTTTCATTTTAAAATCATACCCATTCTTCTTATGGCAACAATTATGCTAATGATTACTGTATTAAGCTGCTTGGGAATGACCCCTAAATCAAATCAGAAAGTTTTCCCTTCAAGAGACCTGAGGTCCATTGGATAATTCCACACTTGGAAATACAAGTGAATTGATCAGCTGGGAAAGCCGCATGGCCCCCACCCCACCCCCAGCGACTGCAAATTCGGTGGGTATATTTTTTTAAGAAGATTATTTATGGTTTATTTTAGACACCAGATCATTTGGTGCTTGTTTCATCAATTTGTCACTGTTTTTATTGTCACCAATTGCCCATAACTGGAGTGCATTTAAAATGTCATTGATCTTGATATTATGGTGTCATAATATGACAGTAATAGTTGTATCTTGTACAGGAAGCCCACTTCCTAAGATTGATGGCTTTCACCGTACCAATTATATTCTGTCCATCTAAGTGATAAAGAGAGTGTTGGAGGCATTCAATAGATAAATTAGATATCTTTTCAATTATTCCCTTTATTTTATAGGGTCATGTGCCTAATTAACAACTTCTTACTTCTGTTATTAGCTGGAGAATTTTATATGTCGGCTCTTGTGTGTTTTAATTTTACCGATGCAACGAAAAGCGGTGGAAGGCTTTCAATCAGGAGTCTGTAATTCCTCTCTCCCTCTCTCATGTAAAGAGCATGTCTGTTTTATTTCTTTTCTTTGTGATCAGGGCTGGCGACGAATGCTTATACATCGTTGCGTATTGTGTGGGCTGTTAGGAAAAAATAAGGACAAAGCCGATCTTGTCAAATCCTTGCTTAGTGTTAATGCCGTTAATTAGGACAGGTGTTGCAAGGGATGTTGAGACTTCAGCTTCAGGGTCTAAGCCACCGTCCAACTCTTCAAGATCAGGATGAGGCTGAGTGGAGGAGATATCTTCCCATGCTGGCCCACTGAAAGGTCATTTCACCTGCCCCTGAAGCATCCAGAGATGGATCCATTAAGGGTTGGGATATAGGCAAGGGCAGATCCAGGGGGTACAGTTGCAACCCACTTCCACCACGTAGAGCGGTGAGGTCCACAGAAGACATGCCAGCCAGGACCCAGGGGCAGAGGGGATAGTGGTGGTAGCAAGCAGGTCCCTCTACCTGTGCCTGCTTGCTGCCTGGCCCTGCTGGGTGTCTCCCATGGGCCTGGGGGGCTCCAGCCATCCCTCACCCCTCATTCCCACCCATGGTCTGAGCTTACTTCCTGCTGCCTGAACTCCGCAGGGGACCCAGGCCCCCGGGGCAGCAGAGAGGTGGGACGACCAGCATGTCCTTCGCCTTCAGGTCCAAGCTAAGGAGCTCAAGCTGGAGGCAGCCGTGGCATGAATCAGGGTAGGGAAGAGGGCAGGGAGCTAGGAGACAGGGGTTACAACCACACCTGTTGCACCCGTCGTATCTGCCACACTCCCCTTTTCAAAATCTTAGTGGATCTGGGACTAGATAGACCTTAATTCTTATTCAGTCTGCTAATTTCCCATGTTCTTATGCAAGAGGCCCTGAGTTAGTGCATGGATTTGGGAGCAGTTAGGGGGCGGAAATAGTTAAATAGTAAGGCAATCAAAACCTCAGTTATAGAGAGGCTACTGTTTTGCTTCCCTTTATGACACGCACACGCACAAATCTTACAAGGAGCTATTATGCGGAAGTTTATTGTGTATAGGGAGGCAGGGGTGAATTGATACAAACACATGAGATATAAGAGAACAACGGGAATGCATTTACAGTCTATTCATGTCCTGTAAACACACAGAGAGAGACCAGGGGGAGGTGGTGTTGAGGAAAACAATTTAAAAATAGCTATAGGGCAAAAGAAGAAATAAAATGGAGGAGGGGCAAAGGAGGGACCTTGGCAAAGGTGGGATTGTGTGTGCGCGAGTGGAGAAGAATCCATCGCAGCCCTCAGTAAGTCAGGCCAATGGTTCATCTCCCTCCCTTTTCAGTATCTTTTTTTTTTTTTTGGCCTTATTTCTCATCTGAATTCAGTTTCCAGGATCCTGCTATACCTTGGTGTCCTGGAGCAATGAACCCTCAAGTCCAGTGGATACCATTTGCAGGCCCCTAAAAAAACTCAAATGGAGATGCAGACCCCTTTGGAAATTTCAAGTGGAGGTGCAGTCCCCTTTGAATTGTAAGTGGGAGCATTCACATACTTTTCTTTGATCGTAGTCATCTTTTGCAGACCTTTTAGACATAGTCTGCGGACCTCCAGGGGTCCGTGGACCACAGCTGGGAAACCACTGCTGTAGTAGGGAATTGCTCTTCTCCGCTAAGGTGGCTACAATCAAGTCACCCCCTCTTGGAAGAAGTAAACACATCAAGATATGTCTTCCTTTCATCATTCTGGGGGCTTTTCTTGGAGTCCCTTCCAATTTACAACCTTTTGAAAATCCCACTAGTACTCTCCAAGCACCTTTGGAAATCAAGCCATTAAAGGCCTAATTCCCATCAACTGTCAGTTCTGAAAATGGGACTGGAATATTTGGGCTGAACTGGAATTAGGGATTCAAAGCCCTCCTGGTCTTCAGGGGAGGTCTACGTGCCCAAGAGAGGCAATGCTTATTTGATCTAAGTGGTCACAGCTACATTGGAGCCTCTGTCTTCCGGCCTGTCGGTTGTACAACAGTAATAACGATCTACGTTTTAAGTATATCGTAACATCAGCAAAAGTTATTATAGTCTAGAGATATGCAGAGAACTGACTTTTCTGTTCACTGCCAGTTTCCAACTATGTTGAACATTAGTTCTGGGTCAATCCAAAAGAATTTGGCAAGCCAAAAAGTTTGGAAGACTTTATTTTGGGTCAAATGATACATTTTGTTTGGAGGGGTTTTTTAAAAAAAAAGTTTTATTTTTTTAAATAAAATTGAAAGATTTTGCCAATTGTAACATAGTTTCAAAAAAAAAAAAAAAGGGAAAAAAAGAAAACCATTATATTTAGATGCAAAAAAAAAAGGAGATTTTCTTTTCCTGACTAAAACAATTCACCCAAATCTATGGAAATTCACACAATGTTTTGGTGAGCCCAGATCTTTTTTTTCTTTCTTTCTTTTTTTAGGGAAGGAAAATATTTCTCTTGGAAATGCTGACCCAGATTTGATTCCCGATCTCAACATTTGCTACGGCTTCACGTGAACGGGGCTGTTTGACAACTGATTCCAATGCATAGGAATCATTTAGGAACCTGCGATAAACCGTGTATTTTCTTACATATGCCGTGCCTCCAAAAAAAATAAACTTTGGAAAAAAACCCGCAAAAAGGTTTTGAAAGGCAGAATGAAAAAAAAAGATCTTTCCTTGAAAGCCTCTTCCACGGAGAAAAGGGAATGGGTTCACAGCCAGCACCTAGGGATACCTTCTTGCAGCACCTGCAGCTTGATTTTACTTTCCCCTGATGGAGTTTAAGTCGCAGAAACTGCTTGTACTGTATTTTCTCATTTATTCTGTGCACCCTCATTTCCCACAGCTGAATTTCAGGAAACACGTCCTTGTTGTACACAAGAAAATATGGTAAGACACGTCGGCTTTCATGGTGCATGCTATAACTGATATTTAATTTTACAAATTTGAAAGAGAAAAAAATTATCCTTTTTTTTTTCAACATATAGCCCCTTCCAGCATTCACTTTCTGAGCACCAAGGAGTGTATGCCTTCTCTTTGCTGCCCTGTTCTGGTCCTATGGTAGAGCCCAGGGTGGCAGAAAGCATCTCTAAAGGGTAGCTAATCTGCCTCCCTGTGTATGTGGGTGGGGGCAACAAAAAGCTCCCTTCTCCACCCACTGTGCCAGGCAGCATGGCTGTGCCAGTGAAGGGTGCCCTAGGTATGGGGCAGGATGTGTCTCAAATAGAGCAGGTGGGAAGAGGTGGTGACTTCCAATGGGTTTCTCGGTCTGCTCCTCGGGTTTCTTGCCAACGCGCCCTCTCGTCCCCTCGGCCTAACGGCAAAAGCCATGCTCGAGCCCGTAATTTAAGGCGGATGCTTTCGATTTCCATCAGGCTTTCCCAAAAGACTTTCCTCTTTGTGATGAATGAACTTTTAATGGAGAAGAATAGGCCGCCTTGTTTTAAGTGAAACGTTTATAAGGAAGCCGATGATTTAAACAACTTTAGCTCCATTAAACAAAAGAGGAAACTGGATCTTAAACCCTCATTTATTTTGAGGAGAGTCTGGCCTGGGATAAACATGACATTAAGTAGCCATCTGAGCATTGCTAAAACATACATTTGCCTTAGTAATAAAATGTTTTTGAGAGATAGTAATGGTTACCTTGAGAGTGGTTCATATTATAACCATTTAAAATCCCACTGCTGAGTTACTTCAATAACTGTCCATCACCTAATGGAAGCGAAACATTTCGAATGAGAGAAGACACGGGTACTTTGGTCTTGTTTGGGAGAAACCTTGGGTACATACAGAGCCAAGAGACCGTTGCATCTCATTCAGAAGCCCCATCCTTGCCTTTTCTGATGGGCTGGGGTCAGTCGCGTCTGCAAAATAGGAGAGGAATGGTCAGAGACAGCATCTGAATTCGGAAGGGGACATCATATCATGTGGAAACAGAGGCAATGCAAAGCCAGTGGTCCTGCTTGGAGCAGGGGGTTGGACTAGATGTGACCCCCTGAGGTCCCTTCAACCCTCACCTTCTCTGACTCTATAAAAGTTGTTGGATTTCTAGGGGAATTGTCTAGCTCTGCTCCCATCAAAATTCAGAGAGACACTGGATTCAGTAGATCCTGTGCTTATGTCCGTCCCAATCTCGCTCTTGTCGTTGTATGATGAGGCTTGGTGTTCTTTTTTTACAGTCCCAGCTCCCAGAGTCAGGGGATTCAGAGTCAATACATTCACAAAAATCAAAACGCAAAAGTCTCTCCCCTTCCTGGCTGCAGAGAACAGCTTGGAAACCTGCCTCCTACACCCTCACTCATCAGAAGACAAATTCACCCTCTGCTTTCTTCCTGCATGGATCTCATAATTTTTAAGTCAAGTGCATGATGTTGCATGCTTGGGGTTGGGCAGGCAGCCACGTAGCAAAGCGCTGAAGTATCTGTTGTAAGCTCATGCCTCTAGTCCTACTCAGGTTTCGGTGCTTTGCTGATCAGGCATGCACTGGCGAAGGGGGACCTGATGACTGAAAACGTTACCTTGTCCATTTTCCGTTTCAAGCAGAGTGACCGGGGGTCAGGAAAACAGGGGAAACAAGTTGCCTTCCCTTCTGTGATTAATAAAGAGAAGAAAATGAACTTCCATGATACGTCTGCGGAAACCATTTCCCCCTTTCAGCGTGTGGCTCGGTGATCGCCGGCATTGGAGGTGGAAGGTGCAATTTCTCCCCTCCGTCACATCACCGTAAGCCGGGGGGAGACCCTGAGCTTAGACCAGCCTAGCTGAGATTCCCTCCAGCGCAGTGAACACCGGCGTGAAAGTGGAATAAGCTGGACTCAAGCAACCTGGGTTTTATTTCACCGATCTGAGTGGTTAAGGGCCAGTTTATTCCACCCATTAGGTGCACAGCTGAACGTAGGTGCCTAAGCGTGATTCTTCCGCACCCTGAAAAAACGTTAATAAAAAATGGTCAGGAGGTTCTCCTCCTCTTTGCTGCTTTTTTTTTTTTTTTGAGACTCAATCTTACAGATCACATGATGGCGCGTTCCAAAAATAGGGGCATAAATGGATTTTCAGAGGCTTTTAGGCAGCTAAGTCCACTCGGGGCCAGATTCGGTTGCACCTGGATGTGTGTGTGTGCTACTTCTGTGCACAGATGCAGCCACGTAGATAAGCAGCTTGTCTCAGGACAGAAGGCACGTGTTACAGAGCATGGGGCTGCATCAGCTGCAGTATTCCCAGCTCCAGCCCGGTGTCAGTCTGAGCATGTCCTGAGGAGGTCTTTTCTGCATAGATAGTCGGTGAAGTGTATGCTCACCTGGCAGCCTTCACAGCCCTTGGCTTCCCAGCATGTGAGCTCCGGGGCGGCGGGGGGAAGTGTCCCCCTACACAGCCCCTGGAGGAATGCC